GAAAAGAAAGGAAATGCAGATAACATGAATAATAAAAGAAAAGGGTGACATCACAACAGAACCAACTGAAATAAAAATGATAAAATAATATCATGAAGAACTGTACTCCAACAGATTCGAAAACCTAGAAGAGATGAACTTACTTCTAGAAGCACAAGATCAACCTAAACTAACTCAGTCTGAGATAGACTCCTTGAACAGACCCATAACAAAAGAAGAAATTGAGCAGATCCCTAAATACCCCCCAAAAGTCGGCCCAAACGGCTTCACTGGAGAATTCTATCAAACATTCAGAGAAGCACGGACATTTATGCTACTCACACTATTCCAGAACATAGAAAAATATGGAATTCTCCCAAATTCATTCTATGAAGCAAGCATAACACTGCTATCAAAACCAGGGAAAGGCACCACTGAAAAGAAAACTACAGACCGATATCCTTCATAAATACAGATGCAACAATCTTTAACAAAATCCTAGCCAACAGAATCCAATAACGTATCAAAAATAATACATTATGACCAAGTGGGATTCATGCCAGTTATGCATGGATGATTCAACAGCAGAAAAACAATCAGTATAACCCATCACATAAATAAAACAAAGGAAAAGAACCACATGATCCTATCAGTTGTTACAGAATAGGCATTTGATAAAATTCAACACCAATTTCTGTTTAAAACTCACAGCAAAATAGGAATAGAAGGAAAAATCCTCAACATAATAAAGGACATATACGTAAAACAAACAGCCAACATTATTGTCAGTTGAGAAAGATTGAGAGCATTCTCATTGTGAACAGGAGCAGGACAAGGATGGCCTCCATCACCACTTTTATTTAACATTGTATTGGATGTCCTGGTCAGGGCAGTAAGGCAAGAAAGAGAAAGAAAAGTCATCCAAATTAGCAGAGAAAAGTAGAATTGTCTCTCTTTGCAGATGACATGATCTTATACGTAGAAAACCCAAGAAACTCAGCAAGAAAACTACCGGAACTGATTGAGAGATTTAGCTCAGTGACAGAATACAAGATCAACATACAAAAATCAGTTGGATTCCTCCACATCAACAACGAGATCTCTGAAAAGGAAATAAGGAAAATAATACCATTTACAATAGCTAGCAAAGAAATAAAATAGTTACGAATAAATAGGGACACAAAAGACCTATACAAAGAAAACTACAAAACACTACTGCAAGAAACTACAAGAGACCTTTGTAAATGGGAGAACAAGCCATATTCATGGATAGGAATACTGAATATAGTGAAAATGTCAGTACTGCCCAAAGCAATCTATACATTCAATGCAATCCCAACCCAGATTCCATCAGTGTTCTTTGAGGACATGGAAAAACCCATCACTAACTTCATATGGAAAGGAAAAAGACCTTGGATAAGCAAAGCACTGGTGAAGAAGAAAAATAAAATAGGAGGTCTCATACTTTCTAATCTCAAAACATATTATATAGCCACAGTAATCAAAACTGTGGTATTGGTACAACGAAGACAGATAGACCAGTGGCAGAATCAAGAACCCAGAAATAGACCCATCCGTGGACAGCTGATTTTTGACAAAGGGCCAAAACCCATTAAATGGAGGAGAGAAAGCCTCTTTAACAAATAGTGTTGGCAAAATTGGATATCCACTTGGAGAAAAATGAAACAAGATCCATATCACATCATACACAAAAATGAACTCAAGATGTATTAAAGAGTTAAATGTAAAACCCCATACCATAAAGTTCATGAAAGATAAAATAGGGGCAAACCTAGGGGTCCTAATTTATGGGATAAATAGACTATCAAGCATAACCCAAAATGCACAAGTACTGGAAGAGACACTAGATGACTGGGACCTTTTAAAAATTAAATTCTTAAGTGCATTGAAAGACTTACTTAAAATGGTAAAAAGAGAACCTGCAGATTGGGAAGAAATATTTGGCTATGACATATCTGACAAGGGACTTTTCACTGAAATTTATAGGAAACTTCAGAACACCTCAACACCAATAAGCCAGACAACCCAACTCAATAATGGGCAAAGGATGTGAACAGACACTTCACTGAAGGAGATATATGGCCAACAAACGTGAATTAATGCTCACGAGTTGGATCCGACTCACAGCAACCCCTCCTTTGGTTTCCAAGGCAGTATCACTACAGAAGTAGATTGCCCAATCTTCCTTCTGAGGAGTGGCTGGTGGGTTTAGAGAGATTTATATCAAAGCAACAACAATGAGATACTATCTCACCCCAGCAATAGTAGAAAAATTCAAGAAGACAGAAAATAACAAATGCTGGTGAGGGTGTGGAGAGATTGGAACTCATACATTGCTGGTGGGACTGTAAAATGGTACAGTCACTGTGGAATATTGTATGGCATTTCCTTAGAAAATTGAAAATAGAAATTCTGTTTGGCTGAGCAATTCCATTACTGGGAATATATCCTAAAGAGGTGAGATCCAGGACACGAATCGACATATTCACACCCATGTTCATTGCAGCACAGTTCACTGTAGCAAAGAGATGGAAACAACCTAAGTGCCCATCAACAGATGAATGAATAACCAAACTATAGTACATTCATACAGTGAAATATGCAACATTAAAGAATAATGAAAAATGTATGAATCACTTCATAATGTGGATGAATTTGGAGGACATTATGCCGAGTGAAGTAAGTCAGTTACAGAAGGATGAATGTTGTATGAGCCCTTTATTGTAAAACGTCAAGAAAAGGTTTATGCAGGGAAGGAAATTTACCTTGTTGGTTACTGGGGATAAGAGGGAAGGGGAGGGAATATTTCTGACTAGTTAAGAAATTTTGGTGATTTGGGTGAAATGAAAGGCAATATAACAATAGTATGTGACCAATACAGTGATAATAGGGAAAAGGAGGACACAATAATTTGCCCCAGAGATAAAGAGAACAAAGGCAAATACTATTACATTGCAAAATACTGCATTATCAATGGCAATAAACATTAGGGTGTGGATAAGTGCATAGACAGGTGAGAAGATCAAGTGTGGGTAGGCAAACAGGAATATACCCACGACCAAGGATAGATTTGGCTGAAGATAATCTTAGATATATACTTGTACTACAAAAACATCCATATGCATTACAGGAGGAACAGGGGATGAGGTTGGAGTAGCTTCTCAGAGGCGACCAAACACGTTGAGGGCGAGAGTCACTGGGCCTGCAGGCTCAGGACCATAGTCTCGGGGACATCACACTCAATTGGCATAACATAGTAAATAAAAATCTTGTTCTGCATCATCCTGCTGTGGTGAGTAGTGACTGGAGTCTTAAAAACATTTGAGCGACCATGTAAGATGGAACTATTGGTCTTCCTTCATCTGGAGCAAAGTAGAGTGAAGAAAATCAAAGTCATTTGGAAAGAATCCAAGGATATGATGGACGATGGAGACTTTAGCCATCATGACCCTGAGACCAGAAAAACTAGATGGTGCCTGACTACCAATGCCAACCACTTGGAAAGAGATGAGAATTGGAGATCCTGGGTAGAGTGGGAGGAAAAATGTGGAACAAAATTAAAAAACACAAAAATGACAGAATTACTGATCAGATGGAGACTGGTGGAACCTCTGAGACTGTGGCCCCAGATTATCCTTTGGGCATGGAACTGTATAGTCACTTCCATGGATTAGCTCTCAGCCAAACAGTAGAAAGACCTATAAGCAGAACACCTACCCCAGGGAGATGCATCCCTTAGGTCAGTCAGCCATGAGACATCAGAAGGGCAGCATTCACACGGAGGGAAAGCTGGACAAACAGGAATGTATAGATAAGGTCACAGGCAAGGGGTAGTCCCAGGGATGAGGTGGGAGGAGAACTTTTTATGGTAGGGGATTGTAAACAGGGCTGTGAAACTAAATGTACATGAACTGTTGAGACATGAATATGCTTTGTAAATTTGCACCACCCAAATCTCTCTCTCTCTCTCTCTCTCTCTCACACACACACACACACCACCTAACATTTTCTCTTAATATTGGCTTTGATCATTCATACTCAGAGCTTTGTGGTTGTATGAAATAAAACATTGTTGCTGGCCACCCTGCCTCTTCTGTAGGTTTGAAAAATAGCATTACAATCAGTTGGACAGATGTTTTGTCTTTCTGTCTTTATTTGCAAGTGTTGCTGAAAATTGTCTGAATCTACTACCAAGTAATATAAAATTTCCCTCCTTTAATTATAATAAGAGTTATAAGAAAGGACAGAGTAAAACAAGGTATCAAAACATTTTCGACAAGTTGTTTATATACCTTCATATAGTGGGAAGACAAAAAATACAATATTAAATAGGTAAGATAACAGGTAGGACATTTAACTGGTATGTAATGAAAATTGAATATTTGGAGACTTAACTGGAAGAAAATTACTTAGGGATGAGTTTTGATATGTTTATCTGACAGTCTTGTTTGCATTGGATTATGGCATTAGGTTAAATGCTAAGTTGATAGTTTTACAAAATTGCTTACTCTGAAATATGCTTACTCTTGAAATCTATGAAATATTAAATAATATTTTATGATATGCTACATCATATAAAAATGCTGTGCCCACTGGGGAAAATGGACTTAAAAATGCAATGAAAAATGGGGAGAATTGGAGCGTGAAGTAGGAAAAGATGATGAGAAAGTGAAGAGAAGTGTATCCTGAAAAATAAATTGTCACTGTTGTAGAGATAGATGATGAAATGCAGATGCATTTCAGCTTTATACTTACGCAAAGCATTTCATCTTCCAAGTTCAAAGGGTTGTAGTTTGAATTTAGAAGTATAGTAACAGCTGAAATAAACTTTTATATTGCAGAACTTTAGAAATGGATTTAGTGCCAGATAATGTGATAGTACTCCTGGATTTGTGAGGAGATTTTATTATCCCCCTGTTTTTCTTACTTTTTCTTTTGGGACATGTCAAATTGGGTTAAAAAAGAAGAACACATTCAGTTGATTGTTTTTCCTCTCCCAGAAATCCTGCAGGACGGACAGGACTGGTTGGCCGGGGGCTTTTGGGGCGATGGGGCCCAAATCATGCTGCAGATCCCATCATAACCAGGTAAGAACCAAATGAAACATTTCAGAAGTAAAGAACGAAGTGATCAGAAAAATGCAGACTGTAATCATATACATTCATACACACAATCTATACTTTGAAGTGATTTTCTGCAAAGAAATTATAGTAGCGTAAGTTTAAAGCTGTAATTTTGTATTGTATGAGAAATAGGCATCATCAGACAAAGTTAATTCACCATGTAGTTATTGAGCATGTTCTCCGTATTGAGTAGGTCCTTTGAAGGATTTGAAAAATAAGATAGAATCTTAAGTTTTGGCTACCTGTAATTGAAGAGCTATGACTTCATTTGCAACATGGAAAATATGAGATAAGAAAATATGTCACATGATTGAGTAAAATGAGTGATACAGAATGCCTTAGAAAGTTGAAAGTGGAGAATCATAAACTGGAGCACCCAAGAATGGCATTATGGAGGAGGTAGACTTGTGTCAAGTGTGAATCTTTGATGGAGGCATAAGAGTAAGCCTAAGTATTGAGTATTGAGGGACAGTGAGAAGATTAGTTTGGTTGAAACAGAAGACTCTAGTAGAATAAATCTCAAAAAACTCACTGTCATCGAGTCGGATCCAACTCATAGTGACCCCTTCTTGGGTTTCTGAGGTGGTATCACTATGGAAGTAGATTGCCCTATCTTCCTTCTGAGGAGTGGCTGGTGGGTTTGAACCACCAGCCTTCTGGTTAGCAGTCAGATGCCTTAGGCACTAAAATTAATTTTGTAGAGGATTTTAAGGGTGGACGTTAAGGAGTATGAACTAGAGCCACTGAAGGTTTCAGTTTCAGAACAGGGTGAAGGCATTCTTTCATTTTTAATTTTATTGTGATTTGGGTCAAAGTTTACAGAGCAAATGTATCTTCCATATAGCAGTTCACATATACTTTGTCTCATGACATTGACTGCAATTTCCCACAATGCAGCATCTCTCCTCCCACTTCCTCCCCATAGTTACCTTTTCCCTGTGTCCGTCCCTCCCATGTATTCCTGCCCCCTGAGCTGTCTCCCTGTGCATACACAGCCCTTCTATTCTCCTATGATTGTTCTCTCCAAGGAGTGCATCTACCTAATGTAAATGTTCAGCTCATTATTGTTGTTGCTATTTTGCTGTTGCGTCGGACCCGACTCATAGCGACCCCTCCTTGGGTTTCCGAGGTGGTATCACTATGGAAGTAGATTGCCCAACCTTACTTCCGAGGAGTGGCTGGGGTTTGAACCACCAACTTTCTGGTTAGCAGTCGAGTGCCTTAGGCACTAGGCTACCAGAGCTCATATGCCTGTCTTTTGTTTGGCTGGGAGTCACAAGAATGGGTTCACTTCCTGACCTGAAGGATAGCTAGGGGTTCCACCAGACTTTATCAGATCAGCAAATCTGGTGTGTGCCCCCCCCTTTTTTTAAATGATTTTGAGTTTTGTTCCACATTGTTCTCCCTCTCTATCCAGGATCTTCTACATAGATCCCACTTTGAGTGGTTGACAATGTTAGCCAGGAACCATCTAGTTTTTCTGGTGTCATAGTCATATGGGCTGCAGATCGTATGGTGTACTAGTCCCTTGGACTTTGTTTCCATGAATCTTTGCTTTTCTTCATTCTTTGCTCTGGACAAGGAGAGACCCATTTTTGGATCTGCATGGCTGTTTGCAAGCTTTTAAGATTCCAATTGCTACTTGGCCAAGTAGGATATGGAATACTGGTTCTGTGTAGTATGTTATGGAAGGCATTCTTTCTTGATGTAAACCTATTCAATAAACCAAATCATAATTCAGAAAGTCTTTTGTTGAGCATGAATCAGAAGAAAAGGTAGGTGAATCTAATGTTTAGATAGACTTAGCTCTCTCTATAAAAATCATCTATCCAGTGTATCTAGAATAGTCATTTTTTTAATCCCCAAGACTTTTAAGATTTCTTCACTAACGAACTCCCTACTCACATGTAATTGTTATTTTCCTTCTTTAGATAATGCACATACCTTCCCTATTGTTATTTTATTTTATTATATTTTTAGTTTCAGTAATTTAGGGACTTTCCTTTTCTAGGAGACTTTGTTTTTCTCTGATCTGATATATACTAATAATTTCATAGTTTAACTCTAGGAAGGCAATTTATTTCCCTTGTTTTCAAGTTACTGGGAGAGGTACTAATATTTACCCTCTTTTATTCTCTTATTTGTACTTTCAGATTCTCTTCCCAAAGGGAATTTTATCTCACATTCCAAATTTTATCTTCTTTCCTTCCTTCCTTTTTTCTGCCCTTCCTCTCTTCACTCCTTCAGTATACCTGCCTTCCTTCCTTCCTGCCTACCTACCCATCTGTTTTGGTTCTCTAGGGCTGGTCTAACTGAAAAATACCACAAATGGACGGTTTGAACAAACAGAAGTTTATTTTCTTACAGTTTAGGAGGCTAGAATTCTGAGTTCAAAGTGCCAGCTTTAGGGACTGGGTGAAAGACCCTTGACCTTGGGCTTCAGCTCTACCTCTTGCTCCTGGCTCACTGAAGCTGGAGGCTTTCTTAACTCAGACAGCTGCTGGCTGCTGATGCTGACAAATCTAAGGTCGACAAGTATATGACACAGTCCCAATATTATCAAGCAACACAGTTCAAGTCCAGAAACAGTCTCAAGATCAGCAGATAACATGGCAGGCCACTGAGATAAAAGTCTTGGCCAAATGCAAGATCCAGATGTGCCAAAAAAAAAAAAAAAAACCACCCCGGATCATTCCTGAAGCAGCTTCTTATATACTGGAAGCAGACCACATCACTGAGGTAGCTACTCAGCTGCTCGCAGCATATTCCACCATGGAGTTGATTACCATTCTCATTATGGGGAATAACTACATCCAGCTGCCCAGCCACTCAAAATCAGGCCTGGTCAAGTGGACACATAACCTTACTACCACATCATCTGTCAATCTATAAAATCCCTTTAGAACCTTTATGATTTAAATATGATAGGAAGAGTTAGTATATTGTTATGAATGACCTTAAGTCACAAATATTAATGACACTGTCATTTTCTTTTCCGTTTTGGTGAGGCTGGCTAAAAATAGGAAGGTGTGAAACATTTGAAACAGGGATGTAATACCAGTAAAGGGATAAAAAGCAGAAAAGAGAAGCCAGAGACTTGAAAGTTAGCATCTGATTAGCTTACTTTTATCTGTGGTGGATCAAATAGTAGTTGGGGGAGTGCATTTGATGATTGTGGGTCAAGTTGTTTTGAAATGGTAGACTTTAAAGAGACCTTGAGTTTTAACTCTTTCGTTATACAGATGAGAAAACTAAAGGCTTAGAAATGGTCCAAGGCAGTACAAAGCCCACAAGTGGTAGAGTCTAGCTTTAAAATGTACTCTTAGGTTAATGTTCTTTCTACTCTGCTATGTTATTACCAGTAATGCATATATTAAGTGATGAGCTCTTCTAAATAGATTAGTAGCAGTGAAAATGGGAGGAAGAAAATAATGAAAGATATTGAAGAGGTGTTCTGGGTACCTAATGCCACTCTGGCAGAAATATGCCACAAATGGGATGGCCTTAACAAGCAGGAGTTTATTCTCTTACAGTTTGAAGGCTTTAAGTCCAAGTTCAAAGTCCAGGCTCTAGAGGCTGTGTGAAAGCTCCTCGACCTTGGGCTTCAGCTCCGAAGATTGGAGCTCCTGGCCCTTGCTCCTGGCCCACTGAAGCTTGAGGCATCTCATCACTCAGGCAGCTGAGGCTAACAAGCCCAAGGTCGACAGATAAAATGGCACAGTCCCAATGTTACCAAACCACCAGCAGGCCATTAATTCAAGTCCATTGAAAGTCTCAAGGTCAGCAGAGCATGGCAGGCTGCTGAACAATTACATGGCTACATGCAGGATTCAAGCATGCCACAAGTTAGAGGCCATCCCCAAAGCTGGCAATTCTAACCCACCAGCCACTCCTGAGAAGGAAGATGGGGCAATCTACTTCTGTAGTGATACTGCCTCGGAAACCCAAGGAGGGGTCGCTATGAGTCGGGTCTGACTTGACGGCGCATAACAACAACAAGATTTTACTTGCATGTAATATTAATGATATTGTTCAATAATTTCCACATTCTCTGGGATCACTTTTCTTTGGAATGGGTACAAATATGGATCTCTTCTAGTCAGTTGTCTAGGTAGCTGTCTTCCAAATCTCTTGGCATAGCCGAGTGAATGCCTCCAGCAGGGCATCTGTTTGTTGAAACATCTGAATGGGTATTCCGTCAATTCCTGGAACCTTATTTTTTACCCATTCCTTCAGTGCAGCTTCGACTTCTTCCTTCAACACCATTGGTTCTTAATCATATGCCACTTCCTGAAATGGGTGAACGAACATTGACCAATTCTTGGTACAGTGACTCTGTGTATTTCTTCCATTTTCTTTTGATGTTTCCTGCATCATTCAATATTTTGCCCATAGAATCTTTTGGTATTGCAACTCAAGGCTTAAATTATTTCCTCAATTCTTTTAGCTTGAGAAATGCCAAGCACATTTTAGTTTTCTAATTCCAGGTCTTTGCACATTTCAGTATAGTAATTGACTTTGTCTGCTTGAGCTGCTCTTTGAAATCTTCTGTTAACCTCTTTTATCTTGTCATTTCTCCCATTTGCTTTAGCTACTCTCTGCTCAAGGGCAAGTTTCAGAGTCTTTTCTGACATCTGTTTTGGTCTTTTCTTCCTTTCCTGTATTTTTAATGACCTCTTGCTTTCTTAATGGATGATAATTCTTGATGTCATCCCACAATTCCTCTGGTTTTCAGTCATTGGTGTTCAGTGCATCAAGTCTATTTTTTAAAAGGTCTCTAAATTCAGAAGAAATATTTATCAAGTTATATTTAGGCTCTCGTGGACTTGTTTTGTTTTCAACTTCAACTTGAATGTGCATATGAGCAGTTGATGGTCTGTTCCACAATCAGCTCTTGGCCTTCTTTTGGCTGAAGATATTGAACTTCTCCATTGCCTCTTGCCACAGATGTATTCCATCTGGTG